TTTTTTCAACATTTATTTATTTTTGGGACAGAGAGAGACAGAGCATGAACGGGGGAGGGGCAGAGAGAGAGGGAGACACAGAATCGGAAACAGGCTCCAGGCTCTGAGCCATCAGCCCAGAGCCCGACGCGGGGCTCGAACTCATGGACCGCGAGATCGTGACCTGGCTGAAGTCTGACGCTTAACCGACTGCGCCACCCAGGCGCCCCAAAATAACGTGTTTTGAGACCATTTCAGACTTAGAAGAAGTGGCAGAACACAAGACCCCCTAGACTCCTGCCAGTGTGTCTGCCCTGCATCTGCATACCTGTCACAGAGCCCACGGACCCCATGCTGAGCACAGCAGGTGGGACCCTCCACCAGGGCAGCAATGCAGGCCGGGCCTCGACCGGGAGCAGCCCATTGCCCCTCCTGTGTCCACAGCCCAGACAGGCCTGGGGTTCTGGGGTGCTTCATGAACAGGCTCAGGAATGGCGCCCTCTGTGCCAGGACACCTCAGCTGTGTCCCCCATTCACCCAGCCGTGTCCCCCGTTCATCCAACTGTGTCCCCCATTCACTCAGCATTTCCCCTGTGTCATGAGAACGGCCTCTGTGAGGACCTCAGTACCCCGCTTCTCATCAAACTCTGCCCGGCTGTGGTCGCTCCAGCGTGTGTTTGCTGGGGTTCCAGAAGAGCCTTCCCTTCTCACCCTTTACGTGTGCTACTACAGGTTCAGGAAGCCCTAGTCTGTCTGGGAAGCACCACGGGCTCAGAGCCCTAGTCTGTCCAGGAGACTGTAAACGATTAGTGTGATAGTGACTCCGTGGCACCCACCATCCCAGATTTGGCATGGGAGCCCCGTGCTGTCTGGATGGGCTCTGTGGCTCCCGCGCCTCCTGCTCTCTGTCCGGGCGAGGTTCAGCCTCACGCTGCGTGGCCCCCGCACAGCCTGGAACCACATTTCTCTGGGAGCCCGCGTCCTTGAGCAAAGCACGGGATCCAAGATTAGTATTTGCGCACAAGGGTGTCTCCTGGTGTCCGTGTCTCTGGCAGGATGGCAACACTGCCCCGCGCCCTCCTCCCTGCATGTCTGTGAGCACCTCTTGCACCATGAGACACTGTTCCTGCCGCCTCGACATATCCCCAGCACCCCTGCTCCTGACAACCTCCCGTGTGTCTGTCCTCAGTGGCAGGAAGGGAAGGTCTGCGACGTCCTTCTTGGGGACGAAATCTAGATCTATTAAACAGAACCCTGCGTGTCCTGCCTCCAGATGCTCACGAGGACAGGGGAATGGCGGACATGGTGCTAGGTTTGTGCAGGGGTCTGCTTGGTGCAGCTGGGGGGAAGGTCATGGGAGCCCTCCTCCCGTCGTGCTGTCTCTCCTGAACTGGTAAAGCCACATGGCTGTCCCAGAGGCTCCTTCGGCGTGGTGCTGCTTGCTGATGCCACAGGTGCCCAGCGTTCCTGGTGTCTGACAGCCCCCGGTGTCCCACACGGACCCTGACAGGAGCGGGTCTCAGGGCAGCCACCCCTCTACACCAGGGGCCGCTTTCCCACAAACACCCAAAGGGCCAATAGGGCCAGACTCTGCCTTGGTCACGCCTACAGAGGTTACATGACTGTTCTTAAACGCCGAGTGATGTGGTGTAACAGACCCCAGCCCGGCATCCTCAGTGGAACAGAAACTGCAGACGGTGGGGTCTAGGTTCACGGCTGAGGCGGGTGCGGGCTCACGCCTGGGCAGCAGCGCTCCCCAAGACTGGAGCCTCTCCTGGCCGCACATTGCACGGCAGGACTTATCAGTGCTGTCGCCTGGAGCACGTTAGCTGTGCCTGACAGCTTTTGCCAGTTTCCTCCCTCTCTAGGATGCTCCCAGCACTCCCACTGAGTGCTACTTTGGGGACAAACGAGGACACCACATGGAGCTTCCTGTCATCTTGCTCCCTGCTCGGCTCCCAACGCCCCAGCGAGTGTCCTAGTCCAGGACAGTGGAAATGCTGGAGGCAATGGTCATGCTGGCCTCCTCCCCATCCCTCCCCGGCCACCCTGTTCTTGCTGGTCCCAGGGGCTGCATGGGGTCCCTTTCCACCTGGAGTGTATACGGCACCGCCCAGGCCCCTAAGCCCCTGGGTGTGGCCTTCACATCCTGCCCCTTGTCTGCAGGGCATCCGTCAGCGCAGGAACCACTTTCTGTTGCCAATGCCTGGCCCAGACCCATCGCTGCTAACAACGTCCCTTGTCACCCTCTGCGTGTGGTACTAGTGAACCTATGGGATTTTGAATCACGAAACCCGGTAAATGAATGCTCGGCTCCACCTGTAATGAGCTTGACTCGTGTAAAGGTTACCCTGGGCCAGCGGCCCCCTCTGCCCTCAGTGCCCTCGACAGGCCTCTACCTTAGCCCGTCTTCATCTCCAGAGAAGGTCCTTTTTTGGAAGACCAGCTTCACCACAGATGTGATGGCAGCAGTGGCCCCTCCAGCCCAGCCCTGTGCTCACCACCTGGGAGGGAGCACTCTGAAGGCAGGCCTGGGTTACCATATACAGGTCCCTTGAGGTCCACTCAGAATACTTTGTTAAATGCCAGAAACTCGAGGTCTGAGATACGACTGGGCCTGTGAGCCCGTCCTGGCCGGCCCCCCACGGCCTTACCTTCTTGCCCTCTGTGTCCCCGCAGTAAAACTGCTCGGCCTTGGTCTTGCCCATCACCACGGGGTCTGCGGCCTCGAGGTGGGAGGGGTTGGCCACCAGTGACAGGGTGATGTTCCTGTCGGTCACGCGGTTGATGCGCCGGTGGTACATGCCCAGATGGTACTTCACGTCCCCGGAACCCTGACACACAAACAGCAGTCTTGGCTCTTGGAGGGAGGGGCTCAGGCTGCTGTGCTACATCCAGTCCTAGGACTCCCAACCTGCAAAGGTTCTTCCCAGAACGGCTCCCGCCCACGGCACCGGGAGGAGGTCCCCTGCCAAGGGGCACATCCTGGACCCCCAGCAGGAGGCCTGGGGGTTGTTGCTGGGCCTCTGACCTGTGGCCGTCCCTCTTTTCTCAGAGAGGACGGCCCCGGGCACGTCCTCTGTGAGTGGGGTGGAGTGGGGTGGAGCCCCCACCCCTGGAGGCCGTCCTGAGAAACACACGGAGAGGGGATCCCATGTGGGCTGAGCTGCGCCAGACGTTTCTGGGAGAAAGTGGGGGCCTCACCTCATCGGCAGCCTCCAGCTTTGAATCGAACTGGCAGAAGATCTGCTCCAGCTCCTTCCTGATGACATTGGCAAGCACGTTCAGCCGTCCCCTGGGACACAGAGACTGGTGAGCAGGGATCAGCTGCTCTGGGCACCTCAGGCCACGGTGTGGCAGGAGGCAGGAAGGCGGAAAACAGGCCGCTGCCCATGGGGAACACTCCACTAGCCCCTTCGGCTGCGGCCCCACATGGTCGGGGATGGGGGAGGCTCATGGGGACGGTCACCGGGGCGGGCACCTGTGAGGCATCCCCATGATCACGTAGTCCACTCCATTCTCACTGGACTTGTCGATGATGGTCTTGAGTGCAGGAATCAGTACCTCGCACCCCTCCAGACCAAAGCGCTTCTCGGACGACCACTTTCGCTGCAGGAAATCCTCAAACCTGGACAGGGACCGAGTCACCCCGAAGAGCCAGGTCACCTGGGCCAGTGCGGCTCGCAGGGCCTGCAGCCCCGCCTCCTGCAGCGACCCCCTGCCCTGAGCGCAGCCCCCACCTGGTAGACCGCACGAGCCTGGCCAGCAAGGTCCGCTTCTCCTCGTTGGTGAACTGCATGATCCCCGGTGTCTCAAACTTCTGCCGGATCCACTGGCACTGCTCCAGGTCATTGATGAACATGAACTCCACCCCGATGTGCTGACAGTACGCCATCTGCTTCACACACACACAGAACCCATCAAGGCTGCTTGCCCAGGGCCGTTGGCCGCCCACCCAGCCAGGAGGCCAGAACAGATGCAGCAGAGCCGGCTGTGACCCAGGGCAGAGACCAGGGTGGCGCCAGGCCTGGGTCCACGGCCCCCTCTTGCTGCCAGTGTGGCCGCGAGGTGCTTCCTTGGGGTCACGCTGTGCCCACTAAGCAGGGAGGGGCAGCGAGAACCATGGGGCCACAGTGCTTCCCTTTGTGGCAGGAGGACGGAGGCACCTGCCAGGGGACCAGACGATCTGGGAAGATAGCCTCCCTGAGCCCAAGGTCAGACTGTGCCTGGTGCCAAAAGAAAGAAGGGACCACACTGTTGGTAGGTGATGGAGCTCAATGGCCACCTAAGATTTGCAGGTGCTTAGGTTTTAAATTCAACTTTTAGTGACTGCCTCCTCCTGGGAAGGCCGGGTCCTACAGCAGCGTGCTTGCACACATTGCAAAGCAAAGGGCCCTGAACAGAGCGAACGCATCCCATCCACGGTGCAGACGTTGCCACTGGGAGGGAGGCCGTGTGTCCTGTGGGAAGCATGGGCTCCCTGGACAGGAAATGGTGGGGGGGACACAGGAAGGCCAGGAGGGCCCAGCCTCAGGGTGGGGGGCCTGGGCCCGGGCCCGTCTGTATCCTCCACCAGTTCAGGGTGAGAGCAAACCCCCAATCAACACATGAGCTAAAGAAGAAAGCACCTGGTGTGGCAACAGGGCGATTTTATGAACCCCAAAACGTCTCCAACAGCCACACCATCCAAGCACTCAGTACCAAGTTCTGTCTGTGCCCCATCGGTTTTTACAACAGATACGGAGCCTACTGGCACAGGGCAGGGCGGGGACATGCCCCAGGCCCTTTGATCCTGTCATCTGGAAGAGTGGGCGTCTCTGCACACTGCTCCAGGATTGTGAAACAAAGGAAGGTTTGCCCTGAACTCAAAATAACAGCCAAGCACTACACACGCCATCATGCTAGCCAGGAGGAGGACGACCTTGTCTGGGGATGAAGAGGAAGCGAGCTGGGGAGGGCCTTGGTGCTTCGGATCGGTTCATCAGCCAGGTCAATGAGGGTGTCTCAGTGATAACAGAGGGTGCAAGAAGTCCGGGGCTGGGGCTGCTGGGCCGCCCTCCCTGACTGCACGGTTAGCACTAGCTTCACGGTGCCCAGGCTGACCCACAGAACATGTAACACAGCCCAGAGTGCCTCTGAACATGAACACTCCTCCCTCAGCTTCAAAAAGGTCTTCCTGGGGTCTCAATACAATCT